TATATATATATATATATATATATATATATATATATATATATATATATAATAGCATTCTGACCGACGTCTTTGTCAGGTGGGGTGCCTTTCCCTACTGATTCTACAGTTACCATTTTGTTTGCTCGCAGTTTCGCCGACAGACAGGTTTGGCAAAACCCATCTAATCTTAATCACTTTTAGAAAGCAATGGCATACTACACTGACGTCACTGTTTAGTGATAAAAACACACACGACCAGTGAACCTTGAGCCAATCTCGCGCGAGTGAAGCAAAATTTAATAATGTAAAACATGTAAACTGATTACAATCGATCCCGCAAGAATATCGAAAATTAAGACCGCTTGTCAATCAAATCAGGATTACGGGAGTGGATCTCTTCATTTATGTTAATCCGAAAATACACACGTGATTTTATGTCATGGATCTACGTTTCAAAGAGTCTTAGATATGGGAAGTCAAGAGGAATTTGCTAGCGCACACATTTTCGCCTGAAAGGTGTGGTTTTCGCAGCCGTTGCCATCCACCTGCCCATTAGCCGTTTATCATGCTTCGAAGCAACGACGAAAGATCTGATAGATTTTGCTAATCTTGCGAATACGGAGGTTGAGCTTAGTACACGAAATACAAGCTGTACTTCGGCTATTTAAAACGAATACCGGATAGTTACTACTTGCCAGTAGCGCTTAACGTGCGTGCCTAAAGTGAGAGAGCTATTTACAAGCCGAGACAGTGCATGACACCAGCAAGGATGTATCATTTTCCAGCCTGTTCTGCTAGCTTCTATGACAAATACGACATACGCATATACGCTCTCCTATGACACTATTTGTCATAGGAAGATTCTTCCTATGACAAATATTGTTGTATGTATTGTGCGCATCATAGGAGTTTAGGAGCGCTAACATGAACGCAAGCAGTGAATTTCAGCTGTAAAGCGGAACAAAGTTGACTCGCCAATATTTGGCATAGGAAGAATCTTCCTATGACAAATAGTGTCATAGGAGAGCGTATATATGCGTATGTCGTATTTGTCATAGATGCTAGCAGAACATGTTGCATCTTCGCATGCAGCGAGAGGCTCCTCAGAGGTGACACTTTAGAGCTGCTTGCGCTTGAAAACATTAGCGCCTGTCTATTTTTATGCTTGGAATTTGACGTTTAGTACGTTTTACATTTCAGGAACAACAAAACAGGAATCATCATCGAAATGCATGGAAAGCCTGTTTTGCTGTTGTTGTAGCGAGCCCGTGAAATCGCACGATCTGGTTCATTTAGGTTGTATTACAAGGATATCACCAAGAAAACCATTTGGTTTCTCGCACCCCCCTCCGAGTACGAATATTTTAGGCGTACATAATAACGCCGTAAATCTTTAAAGCTAGGTTACTAGTTTTACCATTTTACGTTACTTCGTTCTATCACATAAACGCAGCCTCCTATATACAGTGTAACGCATAAGTACATGTATGCGTGCGTGTACGTGTGTGTGTGCGCGCGTGCGTGTGAGTGTGTGCATCCCTTACGCTGTAGCAACGGTAAAAGTAATTTCAGCGACATCTGATTTACGTACCAACTTGGTACTCAATAATGTAGACATTTTACTGTAGAATACCAGCGTATTGAACAGATTTGTGTAACTCTAGGTTACACTCTGTACGTTTTCGATTTTTTTTTACACAGTCATTGATTAGATGTGTGTGCTGTTCTGTTTGACGAGATGAGCTGTAGATGTCCTTAATTATAGGCTGACTAAATTCAATGATATTCAGTTCGATCGAACGTTATTCTTAACCGCCACGGTCTAAAAATGGAGGAACTTCTATCTTTCCATTCGAGAAACATCCATTATCACCAAGGCCTACATATATGACCGTTCGTATACCTATGATTAATTGATTATATAGAAGAGGAGGGGGAGAGTGGGGCCACCTGCAAGAGGGAGAGAGTGTTAGTGCTATTTTGTAATTTTGAAATGGTGGCGGCGTGATAATATATGATTCTGTATTTACCGAGAATCACGGACTGTTACGCTAGATGTATTAGGTAAATAGTGCTGATTCCGATTGCATCCGCCCGTCCAGGTTTCTAGCAACCATCAATTTCTGCGGAATCGTAACTATAGGTATAACAACAGCTGTACGTGGCTTAAAGTAGTAAAGCACTCGTAGGGACAATTTAATGAAGATTAACGAATTGCGCAAGCGGGTATAATTTATACCGGACGTAGAGTTATCATACTTCTGATATTTTCATACCTGGCATCAGTCACTGAATAGTGGTGGGAAATTGCATAGGCTACATTTATTGCTATTAAGTAATTTGCGACAAGGGGTGGTGTCAACAGTATAAGCAGAACCGGAATAACAATATTTCAAATGTGATCATCCGGTGCTTCCGCAATTAACTAATAGCGTAATTGGTCATTATTATAATTCTTTATTGTACCACTGTATGATTCTGCTTAAAGATGAATTCCTTCGTAAACCTTTGCAACAAATCATAGTCGATACCCCGTATATATTAAACTTTACTATACATGATTGTTACCATTGAAATGGAAACTGTACAAGTCAGTAGCATGCCAGTTCTACCTCAAAGTAAATACCAACTCAAAAATCGAATTTCACAGAGGTTTGTGAGATGCCGGTAATCTGTGTACACACGCAAACACGTGCACGCACACGCACACGCACGCACGCACACATACACACACACACGCGCGCGTGCAGTTATTGGAGACGACACGACCTCTCAAGGAACGGCAAAAATTAAATTGCATGGATAGCATTCATTCCAATAGTTATACTTTCTAGACGAAACCTTGAAGGGAAGTGCAAGCGTACAACGCGTGAACGTTAATTTTAGACGAAATTTTTGTTTGGCAACGCGTACGCGTCTTTAAAACAGACGTTTGTTCACTAGGTATTTGCATGGAATTTTAACGGCACACCCGCGAAGCACTTGCGGGTTACATTACGAATAGCGATACACCACTATAATACCGCTGCCGTCGGAGAGTTTAGCCAACATTGTGATGCAGCTATCATAGTTACGTTGTGCGACCGGCCAATCTCATATCGAGAGCATTCACTGTGTTCGGAAACCCATCGCACACGTTTGCAAATGATCCGTAAATGACATCTTGACTATAGGTGCCATTAATGATTCTCTTTACCGACAACGTGGGAATTTGTTGTAGCGTAAATGCAGGATCG